CACACACACACACACACACACACAACCACACACACTATATATATATATATTATATATATGTTATATATATATATATATATATATGTTATATATATATATATATATATATATATATATATATAACACAAATGTGCAAACACTTGCTGCGAACGTGAGCACAAAGAACGTATCTCAAATGTTTACGGAGTTATGGCTCTTAAAAGTAAAAATTTTAGGTGGGAAATATTCTGGAACTGTTCGACAAATCTCAAGCGCTGTTGTGAAGTCTTTTGTGAACCTTAATTAACTGAATATATGCGATAGGACGTGTTGCTCTGTGCGTGCAGCGAGCTGAAGAAAAGCTACTGCTGGCCGGTATGCCAGCATGATCTGACATATTTTGATGCCAGATCTTTTGCATTCCTGTGTGGTTTTGCAATACCTTTGCAATGTTCACCCGCCAGTCCGACCGATTAGGGTGCTACTGATGTGCTTGCATGGTGTCACGGCATGTGTATGCCTCCATTGACAACCCATTTCGCTAGACAGACATCGCCTGTTGTGGGTGGGCATTTCGACAATACTGCTACAGGAAAAACTACTACCGACAGGAGTGCCACGACGTCAGTTCTACGCGACTTTACTTGTTTTAAAAATATACACGGCATGGGTGCTACAAGACAAAGTATTTACTTCAAGAGCTTATACATGTCATTGCACATAGTTCAAAAACCTCTGTAGTTTTTACTTAAACACGACATTATTTCCACCGCAAACGCCCATCTACCCCATGAGTGCTGCAAGACAAGACTTATATTGCAAAATATTATGCATATCATTTCTTACAGGGAGAAGACTTCTATCTTCACTTATATCTTCACTTATACGTTACATTATTTCTTCTCTAAAAACTCATATACGACATGAGTACTACACAACAAATATAATGCTGCAAAAACATGTGCCAGTCATTACTTCTACAGCAAAGACTTCGCCACAAGTCCCTACTGTAGCACTCATATCGCGTGAAAGTCTGTGCTGTAGAAGCAATGCCGTGTATAAGCGATGGCTGTGTAAGGTTTTGCAGCAGAGATAATGACGGGCACACGTTTCTGAAGCATTAGTTTTGTCGTGTTGCGATGATGTCGCGAATAAGTCCTTGCAGTAGAACTCAAGTCGTGTATAAACGGTGAGTGTATGTTTTTACAGTAGAAGAAATGGCGAGCATAAATTTTTGCAGCAGAAGTTTTGTGGTGCGGCAGAAATGCTGCGTGTAAGTTTTTTTGCAGCCGATGTTACGCTGTTTATAAGCAATAACCGTAACAATGGTTGCAGTGGAAACAATAACGAGAGCAAGTTTCTGCGGTATAAGTTCTTTCACGTAGCACTTATGTTGTGTACAAGTATTAGGAGCAGAAGTAATGTCGCAGCACTCCTATCGGGAGGCGTTTTGTATTAGCACTAACTTCGTGGAGCCGGCGTGGGTATAAATCCGTTTCAGAGGCGGGGTGGGGAAAACCTGGCTTGGAGGGGTTAAGCTGGAACCACCTGCTGGTGGTGGAGAGATTGGAGGGGTTAAGCTGGAAACAACCTGCTGGTGGTGGAGAGATTGGAGAGGTTAGGCTGGAAACAACTTGCTGGTGGTGGAG